ATTTTCTTGTTCTCACTTTGGCTTCCAGTTGAGTCTGGTGTCTAGTGTAAACACTCCGCCCCTCCCCCAAGTGGGCACATCAGTCATATTGGTTGATTTTTTTTTTAAAATGGGAAAATTACTGCTTTGTGTGAATGGAAGAAAATATACTGCCCCCCCCCCCTAATGTGTTTTGTTTTAGCTTTAGAATGATAAGTCTGAGCTTTCGTATGCAGCAGTCGACAGTATTGTCTCTGTTGTCACGTAATGTTGACAGTGTAACCAAGCCTGTCGTTTCACACTGTGCCAACGATTTCGGATGGAGAATTACATGGGGGAGAAAGCAACATAATTTATGCTAGAACGAGGAAATGCAATCTGAAAACAAACACTTTGGGAAACACTTCTCTACACACACCGTTGTCTATGTTAAAGTTCTGTGTCAAAGATATGATTTCGCTATTTCTTATCGGCCACCTAGTAACAGTAACAGCTGTGGCGGGATTATATCAGATCTGGTACTGTTTACAAGCAGACCTAGATGGACTACACAAGTTCAATGTCTTATCATGTGCCCCTCTCAGCAAATTATGTTCGTTCTCTTGGCCCACTAAAAGCGGTTGGAGACGGTTAGAGCCCGCCCCTGAGATAATACATTAAAAATAATTTTAGAAACATTGATGCATCATCATCATCATTTATTCGCTGCGCTGACCATCTCCTCCCAAACACCTCGCTATGTCTCACTTGAATACACGTCAGATTATCAATAGTCTCAGCTTAACATTGATGGCGTGGACAACTGCTGAACTGTTGGCGACAAGTTCTGCTATCATCAATGATGAACTGCATTTCTAATGTTGGACTGTTTGTGTTAGCACTTGGGATGGCTACTGTATGCTTTAATGCGAGTGCATGCTAGATATGCTGAGACAGCAGTCTGTCAATCTTTCCACAAGGGACTGTGATAAACATTCTGGGTGTTTTTCGTTGGCACAGGAGCGGAGCAAAGATGGGGCGACCCGTTTGCTATGAAGCTGAAACTAAGACTACCAGACCAGCTTAACATTGATCGCTTGATTGCTTAACTTGATCTGTTGAGTCTAAGGTTTACCTGTATATTATTCACAACAGTAAGAGTTCGTTGCCTCACAGCCATAAGTCTACTGTCTTCGTTTTGCAGGACCTGATTTTCAACCAGACCTCGACCGCTTGATCTGATTGGACTTGATAGGTTAGCTAAAGTCAGGACACAGATCGCTACGTCCCTATAGGTCAGGTTTGCCAGCAATACGAACTTCACAGGCTACACGTGTTTATTTTCAAGGACATCGCAAAAGCCTCGGTATACTGAAAAATACCGAGCCAAGATTCACCAAAGAAAGGAACGACACCCTAAATAAACATAGACTACCTCATAAACACTATAAACCGTGACGCAGGGCGTACGTCTAACCTCTGAAACAATACTGCATTTTACAAATCACCAAACAACAGCAAACAATGGGAAGGACGAGGGCCAGTTTGGCCAGTTGAGGAGACGACCGCCGAGCGCCTGACGATAGACTCAAGAAAAACAGCCTTAAAAAAAACGAGTGAACAAGCAGCAAAATAACCAGTATAGGGGTCACCATCCCAAAAACAACAACGGGAGCCTCTCCCCATGAAAACATTGCGGCGCTGAGCTATGCCAATAAGGTATCAAGAGGAGTGGTCATTCCCGAATCTGAATAATGCGCCGGAAAAAGGCGTGGCGAAAACATTCTAATGGAATGCAGAACGGAGAAAAGCAGCTCCGAGGGCCGCGAAAACAACGAAGACAGCCAAACCCAATAAAAGGGGCGCGGCAGCAAATGCAACAGAAAAATCCCCTCCGGAGCTGGCAAGCCCTCCTAAAAGGACTGTTCGGACAGATGAAACACTGGCCAAAAAAGAACAAATCAAAGTAAAAAAAAACACAGGAGAAATCCCTCGAATTATCAATCCTCAAATTAAATGAGGGGCAGATCACGATATCATTGAACTAGTTACGGGAGGAAAAACTGATCGCTGGCGTTGTGATATGTAAAATTTACCTGATTGTATTCCTCAAATGTGCGCTGGTCACAGGAGATCTACTCAAACATTTTAAAAGCACGACGGAAAAAAAAAATGTCGACTGCTCGTATAATATAAAGTTCGGAATCGCACTAATAAAGGATTCCATCACCATAGCCTTCAAGGGCATTAACCCAAGACTCGGTTCGGCGAAAATTATCGTGATACTGAAGCAGGAATACCCAGACCTTGAAAAAATCCACGTAAAAAATATCAACAAAGGAAATGGAGAGCCCGTCTCAATTCTAAAAGTGACCATAGCCTGGAAGAACCAGCCGACACGCATCGCCTTCAAGGCATCTACATCACCCCTGTGATTCAGTCCCAGAAATGCCAGGTTTTTAGACACTCATTTAGAAACTGCGGGAAAAGACTTCCGGTCTGCAAAATATGTGCTGAAAATCCCTGGTCCAAAGACTGCCAGAAAGCAAAAGCCGACCTAAATTACAAGGATAGCAACCTGGAAAGAAAGTGTGCCACTGCCTGGTAGTCTTAGTTTCAGCTTCATAGCAAACAGGTCACCCCATCTGCAAAGGCCACCACAGCTCCAGATGTCAAGGTTGCCCCACACTCAGAGCAGCAAAGCTGGCCTGTTGAGAGGCAAACCTGGCCAACACACCCATGAGGGTCGTCAGTTGGAATTTATCTCAGAGAAAATCACCACAGGAAATGCAGTCAGACATACACATACTCCAGGCTACGCTGACAGCGCAAGCCTACGCAGCCAATCACATCGCAGCTCACCCCCAGTGGCGCCACCGGCAATCGACAGCAAGGAGGAATGTGCACTGAAAAACGAGGTAGCTGAACTGCGAAAAGCACTCAGATCAAAAAAGAAAAGGAGTTTGGAAAATAAAGAGAAAGCCAAGGAAAATTTACGTCTAGTAGTTTGCCACTGCTCTGGACGGTCGGCTTCTCCATACAACTGTCGAAACCAACACAAGGCGCAAGGCCCGCAGCTGGAAACGAACCCAGCACTCCGGCATTACAGAGCGCGTTCGTAACGCCTAAGCCACAGACGTAACTAAACGTGACACTTCTATATTCATACCTAATGGTCCAGTGACGGTCCTGGTTTGCCCCTGCAATCTGTTCTGGCGAAACTGGTCGATAAGAACAGGGCTTATGTATGGTCTTTAAAGCCCAAATGTCAGCGTTCCAGACCATTTGAGCTGAAATCCAATGAGCTGCTGGCATTTCTCGGACTGTAGACGACGCACATACACATCCAATCCAGTGGTGAGGGAATGTATTGATCGGCACTCACAGAAAGAAGTAGAAAGATAGAAGGACAGACTAGACAACATAAAAATCGAAAGCTATAGTTATTTATCGGAACTGTATGAAGCGATATTCTGCAGGTGTTACATTCTCGGAATTGTGAAGAAAAGAAGGATGATGATGTGGATCACCAAATAACGGCCGTAGCCAGGTATCTCCGTAAAAACTGCACTTGTTAACTAAGCGAGGCATACGGCTGGACCTCTTTACCGTGGAGATCCCCAGGAGGAGGTAAACCAAAAAGAAGAAGACGATAAAACGATTCAACCGCACTAAGATTTTCAATGTCCACTTTCACATGACAACTGGTCCATGTATGAGAAGGCTACTTTACCGCGACCACAGCACAAACATATCTTGTACATTATTTCTCCTGCTATTTCAATGGTCTAAAGAGTTCTGAACAACGTTTCTGTATAATCTATCTCTGTTGTGGAGTGGTTAAACTGCCTGCCTCGCACTCTGAAGGTTGCGGACTTAATTAGATTCCCAATCCTTCAGTTTTTGAGTGAAGTGTTTTGAAGATCCATGTGGGTACTAGCTATAATTGTGGAATAAGTTGCACGACATTGCTGAGCTGTTGTACCCTGGTGTTATCCTTTCCATCTTGCTTTGTTCCTTGCTCATTACTCTCCTCTTCTTGTGCATGCCTTGAATGGTTTGACACAGCAATACATGTGCTTAACTGTAATTGTTGTGTTTGCATGCAATGCAGAAATAGTTCTTTGCCGACGTTTTCTCAACTTCACTCTAGATTTGTGTCACTCCTGCTGCATTTCTCAAAGACATCTCTATGGTTACTAATTTTCCTGTTTGGTCTGTATGAGATGTTCCTTTCTGCAGACTGAATGTGAGATGTTCCTTTCTGCAGACTGAATGTGAGATGTTCCTTTCTGCAGACTGAATGTGTCTTCTGTTGTAAGAGATAAGTACTAGGGTGGTTAACAATATTTGGTTTGCTTTACTGCATCAGATGTTAATTTCTGCATCCAGTTTGCCATCTTCTGTGAATGTTGCTCCCACCAGATATTTAGACAGAGAAGCCTGTCTAATACATTTGCACTCTATACTACTAAAATTATGTTGTGCTTCTATGTTGATTCTCATATCTATTTAACATGATTTGTTTATAGACGTGAGATGTTGCAATCAATTATAATATGGATGTAATTAAATTAACATCAAGGCATCATCAGTAAAGAGTAGTTCGTTGATACTATTATTATTTTTGTTTTTAAGCTTGACATCTTTATCTTTGCCAATGCAGGTGATAAACAGCAGTGGTGATAAATCACATCCCTGACTTACTCAAGATGTTACTGTCAATGCTTCATGTTTCCTGATTTATTCTTCATAGGCTTCTACAATCCCTAAATAAACTTTTGCACATTTCAAGCCACTGCATTCTATAATACTTGTTTAATGACTCTGTTGAATTATTTCTCCTGATCTACAAATGCCATAATTAGGTTATCATATACTATGTTATTTTCTATTAACTTCTTTAAAATGAAATTGTTGAAGAGGGATACAACAGCAACAAGTAATATAAAAACAACACAGAATAATCTAGTATATTTTCAGCTATTCAAGTAAATAAACCAAATTAGTCGGTTGTTACTTCTTCATGTAATGGAAACAGCTCAGTATATTTTTGGCTCCTCTGGTAACGGAACTGTCAGTTTCCCTTCTAGATGAGGGAATTTCTTCACAAGCTCTTCATTCATCTTTCTCTGACCATGATAACGGCCCCATCGCTTGCGAGCAATCTTCTCTCTCCATAAAGGCAAGTACTTCAAGTGTAAAGCCTTAAATCCCCGAGGGTGCAGCAGGCGGTATACTTTGTTCACATGTGGTGGTACGGCATACTCCTTGAAGTCTCTCCACACAACTCGCCCAAGGAAGTCTCTGACATATGCTCCACCAGGCCCACTAGGTTTGCCAGTCTCAAGCATAGATACAGCATTATCTCGCTCCTTGACAACTTCAAGAATATTCTCCATACTTTCCTCAACCTGCAATGGAAAGAAAAGTGACAAAATAAAGATTAACACAGTCTTATCCCAGCAGATAGTTAAAAGGTAGTTGTATACCCCTTTCAGGATGTCTGATGTGGTTTCTTTATCAAGACAATTCTTCTACGGTATTTTGCTACTGCTTTCGACCTGCTGCCAAACTGCCTACCTCTAAATTTAACCATATACAACTTCTCCTCGACTTATGACCATTTACACTTACAATCACAACAAAAATAAATAAACAACTAAAACTACATTGTAAAGTCAAAACAATCCTGGAATTGATGATTAGAGTGCAACTGCATCTAATTTATACATACATAATTTGAATTGTTGTTTTCTGTGCACTTTATAAAACTCATCTGAACAGAAACAGTGTTGAAACATATAACTTTGACCTAGGATTTGTTTATCTGACAACCCTTTTAGGTGAAATGGAACTCAGGCATAACCTGAGAGACCTTGTATTTAAAGTTACAAACTGCCTTCAAAACCCCTTAGCCACAAATGCCAACTTAGCCTGTTGCATTTTCTCTATTGTTTCCTCAATCTGCAATGGAAGGAAAAGTGATGAATCATAGACAGCGGGAAAACTGCTGTGACCGTCTTCCACTTCATTCTTAAACTAGATGTTGTAGTATCATATGCTGGACTTTGTTGCACTAAGTGCCATCCATTCGCTTTTCAATAAACTCTCAAGAAATTCTTCTGCCTCTCAACTCAGAGCTATTTGTATAAATAATCACATTACCTGGACAGTAATTATTATCAATAAATTGTCGAATTGCTGATTCTGCAGTCCCTGCTAGCCAATCTCTCATTTCAAGTCAAGTGTGAGTACAACCCTACACAAGTCTGCTTTCTGCACTGACACTTTGACTCACCTCTCCTTTTTTCAAATTTCTGTAAGCAAACACACATCTCTAATTGTGTCTTCTGCTTGTGCCACCCAAGACTTCCCTCTAATCAGCCTATGACCCTTACACCCAAGACTTCCCTCTAATCAGCCTATGACCCTTACACCCAAGACTTCCCTCTAATCAGCCTATGACCCTTAGCTGTATCCAGGGCTTCAGGAAAAAGGTGATTTTTGTCGGCGACTACCCTGAGGTATGACCTAGCTTGAAGCAGCACTTTAAGCTTGTCTGCTAAAGTTGGCAGTGCAAGGATGTATTGCATAGATTACTGGGCTTTTATAGAAGATAATAATACCTTCTCTTCAGATGTTTCTTTTGTTTATTGTGAGAAGTGGGACATCAGCTCAAACAATACTATCGTCTACAACACTCCTTAAAACAGCACTCATCTCCACACACCAGCAGGTCACTTTGTCCACTGATGCCTGTAGCTCCTTTGCTGTCTGTTGCCTATTTTTACTCAGCCTATATGCAAGAATATCATCTGCAAATGTAAATATTACCCCCATTTCCACCAGGTGTTTGAAGTTCTGCAGTATTGCTTGTATAAATACTGAAGAACACTGGTGGAACTACAGATTCCTGTGGTAGTCTTAGGGCAATACAGCATGGCTCTGAGACCCATGCATTCAGACAAAGCAAAACCTTCTTGGTATACAGGAGAGGTGCTTTCCGGTTAACTAGCCAGGGACAAACCCTTTTGTCTATAACTGTGGACATAAAAAAAAATCATATCTGACTGTGCTCTAGGCATCATCAAGAATATGTGCCACAACTACCCTCTCCTGTCTATTCTAGAACCCCTCTTAAACATCAAAAGCAAAGATGAAGAGAAAACTCTACAAAAGTATAATGCATATGGTATCGGTCAGTTAACCTGGTCAACAAAAGCTCAATGAAGTTGGATCTGTCAGCCGAAAGGCACAGAAATCATAGCTTTGCTGTTAACAAAAACAATGCAAAAAATGCACACAGACGAACAAACAAAGTTGTTAAAAAAAGGAAAAAATCCTAATCTTATTTCTCGGTCGACACCCAAAGCAGCAAAAGAGGAAGTGAAGAAGAACAATGTTTCCAGGTCATGGCAATGATCAGTGTTTTGTATTCAAGTGATTTGTTTGCTGAAGAAATGAAGCAGTTAGACCTCTACATTTATGCTTATAGGAGCAACAGTAACAGATTATCTAAATACCTGCCTCTAAGATCTTGAATTTAATCTATTGTTATAATTTACCAGAGGCTTCTAGGTTGATCCAGCCTAGCACAGGTACCAGGGAAAGTCCTGGGAAATAATGGTAGCCAGAACATTGTTGACCATACCACTTGTTAAATGCCTATTAGTCTTGTAGCTTGATCTGTATGTTCAATTTCCTAGCGGTGTGAAAAGGTACTATACATATTTACATTTACGCTTGAATTTACTATCTTACTTTCTGACTCCCTTAAATTATCTTGTACATAACAGGTATCTCAGCTCCTACTGGCGAGACACATGGATATTTCTCACAGAGACCCCAGTGAGGTGATTTTGTGTACTCTTGTTTGTAACTGTAAGAGTCCTCTCATATGATATGATCATAAAGGCTTTCTAGCTGCAACATTCATTTGTGGCTTGTGATTCTGATGTGAAGGTGACTGGTTATAATTCTGATTTCTGGTTAGATATCTGCTGATGGTAAGTATACAACAGTGTATATTTGGTATACGCAGTTGCAGATCGCAGACTGTGGAGAGGCATCATCGTCCACACCAGTCAGGAAGGATCTTGATGATGATGACGGTAATACAACAGTGCACATTTGGTTAGATATCTGTTGATGGTATTGTATACAACAGTGCATATCTGGTTAGATATTTGTTTCTGGTATTGTATACAACAGTGCATATTTGGTTAGATATTTGTTTCTGGTATTGTATACAACAATGCATATTTGGTTAGATATTTGTTTCTGGTATTGTATACAACAGTGCATATTTGGTTAGATATTCGTTTATAGTATGGTAAACAACAGTGCATATTTAGTTAGATATTTCTTTCTGGTATTGTATACAACAGTGCATATTTGGTTAGATATTTGTTTATGGTATAGTATACAACAGTGCATATTTGGTTAGATATTTGTTTCTGGTATTGTATACAACAGTGCATATTTGGTTAGATATTTGTTTCTGGTATTGTATACAACGGTGCATATTTGGTTAGATATTCGTTTATAGTATTGTAAACAACAGTGCATATTTAGTTAGATATTTCTTTCTGGTATTGTAAACAACAGTGCATATTTGGTTAGATATTTGTTTATGGTATTGTATAGAACAGTGCATATTTGGTTAGATATTCGTTTATAGTATTGTAAACAACAGTGCATATTTAGTTAGATATTTCTTTCTGGTATTGTATACAACAGTGCATATTTGGTTAGATATTTGTTTATGGTATAGTATACAACAGTGCATATTTGGTTAGATATTTGTTTATGGTATAGTATACAACAGTGCATAGTTGGTTAGATATTTGTTTATGGTATAGTATACAATAGTGCATATTTGGTTAGATATTTGTTTCTGGTATTGTATACAAATCTGCTGGTCACAGCCTTAAATATCCATGGACAAAACCTAAAACGGGAACCAGAAATTCTGGCAAAAAGGCAAATTATCAACTCAATGCAAATTTCTTTATGTTGGCTCTAGGGGAAAAAAAGTGGGGATAGACACACCCACTGTCACCAAACAAGCATGTCATAAGAGTCAACCAGCTAGGGATATTTCCTTTGAAGTTATAGTGCATCTACCTGTGAGTTGAGGGGCCGACAGTTTTCTTACAAATAAGCCACATCCGTAAAATGTACACGCATGCAAAACTCAGGTTATGGAAAATATCCAGAAGTGGATGGACAATCAGAACTTTCTGCAGGAGTGTTCAGCTTACAAACATAAAGAAGTAGAAGAAAAATGCTGACTGGTCTTTCAAAAATATTGAGGTTGCAACTGTTCAGTTTTAGCAATTTTTATGGAGATTCATAATTCTTTCATTGCCACAGAAAGTGACCCTGAGGAATTATAATGAACACAGAGCAAGGGGAAAACTACGCAAAACATGGAACAATTGTCTTAAAAATTACCTTAAGGAAATGAACAGCAACTTGTGCAATGCATTAGAGAACGCATAGCAGATTCTTTAATCTAACCCCTAGTACTTTGGTAACTGGCAGACAAGAAGAAGAATGTTCTGCATGGAAAATCTAATACTTTCTTCTAGCACTTCTGTGTGGCCTCCTCACACTACTATGTTTGCAGGTCAAATAATGTAAAGGAACTGTTTACAACACAGGCGCATCTGGCATATGGTGACTGACAACTATTTCTAGACCATCGACACTCAAAGGGTAATGCAGTTAACATCACGTTGACCATCTTTACTTCACAAGACATTTCTTAGTACTTATTTTAGGCTCGGCCAATATTATCTTTGTCTCCGCTTTCATCGGGTCTTCACTCTGGTGGAAAGTTCTGCTTAATCAACCAATTCTGAACTTCATTCCTGTTTAAGAACTTCAGTTTTCCAGGACATCCGCTTCACAGATCTGGCTTATCTGTATGCAGATTGTTGGTTGCTTATCTATCAGGCAGATGCACTCTGACTTTGAAAGAAACACCCCTAATTAGTCGAATTTTATGACATGCTGATTATTTGAGTACTGGGTATATTCTGTTTTTCACTGCAATGGGGATCCAGAACCCACATAAAGAGCTGGACCAATATGGGAGCCTTATGATCAGCATCATGTGCCCTGCCAACTGGTGTAGGCGCTCATTGCATTTTCATAGATCACGATCCCTGGTTGCCAGGAACAGCTTTCTTGATGATATCCCTACATGCCGTTGTTTCAGCCCATCAAGCGTCATCTCTCTTGGTCTGCCTCTACACTTCTTTCCACTGATATTTCCAATTGTCACAATGTTTTCCAATGCTTCTCTTCTCAACACGTGGCCAAAGAACAGTGTTAGTCTCCTTCTTATTGTTTTATATAGAGATCTACTTTCATTAGCCCTATATATTTGATAAATCTGTCTTGCTGCATATGTGGGCCCAACAAGTTTTGGGTCTGCACACAAACATGCAGGCACTGAGTTACTGTGGTTCTCAGATTTGCAAGACTCGAACCCACAATTCTATCAGACAAAACAGCTCTGTTGTTATCACCTTGGTTATTCTCTCAGGGTTGGGAAACAATTCACTCTGCCTGGTATACTCAGCTTCCATTGTCATCAGCATGTTACGTTCTTTCAGCAAAACATACCTGAAACCGTAACATTCATAGGATATACTTATTTATTATTAAAAGTTAGTTACGTCTCCTGTACATGATATCTAAAACCAACCACATAATTTGTTGACTTCTTGTAGTTTTAACTGGCAATTTTATGTTTAGTTACATGGGGATGTTGATAACAGCTAGGCTGCAAAATCTGCCCAACAGCCTAACACATTCAATTTTAAAAACACTCTTAAGTAATCACTTTTATGACACGCTTTGTAGGGGTCAGTGGGTCCATTCTCTCTCACCCCTCCTCCGTAATGGGCCCCATAAGCATACCAGGTAGTGTTTTATTAGTTTAGGTCTGTCACAATTAGTTCTGTTCAGCAAAGTGAATCTGGCTACATCACATAAATAAACAGAAGGAGAACCCTTGAAGCCGCAGAAACATTATAAAAAGCAGAAAGATAGAAGGACACAAAAACAACATAAAACTCAAAAGCTAAAGTTACAGTACCAGGAATCACATTCGTCATTAGGAGGTGACAGGTTTAATTCCTGACACGGTAACTATAACTATTCATTTTTATCCTAAGGACATTGTCAGAAAGAGCTAAAGAAGTAAAGACTAATTTGTACTTATGCTTCATAGACTATACAGAAGCATTTGACTGTGTGAAGCATGAAGAAGTAATCAAACTGTTAGAAAATTAAACATTGATGGGAAAGATCTATGAATAATAAAGAATATGTATTGACAGCACACAGCAGCTATAAGAATTAACAAATGTTTAGGTACATTTCAAAGCATAAAGAGAGGCGTACGACAAGGATGTGTACTGTCACCTGATTTGTTTTCAATATACAGTGAATATATAATGAGATCTTAAACTGATATGCCCAGAATTGTGGTTGGTGGGCACAATATAAACAATTTACGTTATGCTGATGACAGTCTTGATAGCAACAAGTCAGAAAGAACTACAGGAAATGATATACATTGCGGTGTTAGAAAGTGGCCTCAGTTTGAATAATGAGAAGACAGAAGTAATGGTGGTATCAAAGAAACAAATTATTCCTAAATGTGTAATAAAAGTTGATGGTATTTTAAGACAAGTACAGAAATTTAAGTATCTGGGCACATGGATAACATCAGATGGAAGATGCATAACTGAGATAAGAAACAGAATAGGACAGGCAGAAACTGCATTTTATAAAAGGAAAAACATCTTGTGCAATATATCCTTGTCATTGAGAGTTAGAAAAAGAATTCTTGCTTGCTACATACATCCAGTTTTAACGTATGGCTGTGAATCCTGGACAATCAGTAAACAATTTCTAGAGGCCTCAGCGATGTGGTTTTACAGAAGAGAAGAATGCTTAGAATACCTTGGACAGCCAAAAAGAGCAACCAAGAGGTTTTGAAAGAGGCGGGAGCCCGAAGACAACTTATCACAGACATCAGAAGGAGACAGTCATCGTTTTTCGGCCATGTTATGAGAAGAGGGAAAATAGAACATGTTGTGACCACTGGAAAGATCTGTGGAAGGAGGGATAGAGGAAGACAACAAGAGAAGATGCTTGACAGTCTTGTTGCATGGCATGGAGGTGTGTCGGCACATGAACTGATACATGCTGCAGGAGATCGCAGATTATGGAGAGGCATGATCGCCCAGTCAGTGGTTAAAGAGCCACATGGCTAGCACATTCGCCATGTGCTGCATGTTAGGATTTTATTGTTGCCCGACAGAAACAAAATCCATCATGCCACCTCATTGAGCATTCAAACCTGGGTCTCCAGAACGACAGCCTTGCATTCTCAACCATTCTGCAAATAATTAAGGTTTTGTAAGCGGGTATCAAGCAAAGATACATACCAGAGCTTGTGCAAGTCTTGATTACTTTTAATTCTCAGCTCATCCAGCCTGTATGGTCTTCCTAAGAAAAACAAGGCAATTCAAACAAAATCATGTTAGATGTGATTGTGATACTAAATGGGTACAATCTTACATAAGCTGTGATAATGACTAACTGTTTCTGGGATTATGCAACCAGGCAAATCCACTCCCGCTGGGTCGGGTAGCATGGAGACACTGGGATGGCTGCTGCCTTAGATGACCGGCCATGAATGGGTTGGAACGTTTTGATAGGATGTTAATTAACAAGTAAGTAACAATGGATTATGTATGTTTTGACTGTGTCATACAGACTGTTTACAGACACATTTAAGATCACACTATGTTATACAACTGTTGGCAGATTGTTTATGGGACTGTGTAAGACAGGAGCGGACAACCTTTTTTTTTCTGTCCGCTGGTCAAATTTAGAATTACCAACCTGGTTGCTAGCCATATTTAAAAAAATTAATATTACAGACGTAACACCCACATTCCCTCATAACATGACATTTATTTAGGATAATCAAAGACTATAAATTATGTACTGCTAAATGTGCCTGTTCTAGCAGATTATTTGCATAAATCTTATTACTGAGGAAGGAGGGAGAGGCAGAGAAGCATGGAATGATAGTGAATAGTAAGTAATAGAAGAGTGAGAAATAGTATGGAATAATAGTGAATAGTAAGCAATAGGAGAGTGAGAAATAGTCTTACAAATGTTTTTGTGTCCTGCTATTTTGTGAGCTCAAGGGCCAGATTATCAATTAATGTTATACCAGCCATGGCAGCCAGTAAAAACTGCTTGGGTGGTCAGTTTTGGCTTGCGGTTTGCCCACCCCTGATGTAAGATCTGACTAGATGATGCTTGTTCATTACAAGATTATAAAGCATGTAATTATGCAACAATGATTATTTATGGAACTATATAATATGTGACTAAGTGATTATATTACTATACATGTCACTTGGCTTCGTGTCAACTAAGCTCAAAATGGTGGTGTCAGAAAAACGCATAGGAAGTAAATGCAGGCAGTGTGATGTTAATCACATCACCCATTGAGTGCCAGTTTGTCTATAAAAATATGAGTCAAGCACTATATGTCAGATGTCCCAATGGCATGCAAAGGTTCCATAATTTTTGTTGTTTTAAATACAGTAATCACTCAAGAAGAAAACTCTGCTAACATGAACACAATTTTGATCTCATTTTTAATCCCAAGAGTTACAGAGAGATCTAGGTTTGAAACCCTGGTAACATCATGTATCTGTCGGAGGCAAAAATGAAATCCCAACCAGCACAGTCTGTTGTGACAGCACAAGGCATGGGAGCTCTAAATCCTCAGGCTCAAAGATCCCCTGCCTAAACCATAAAAGTGGTAAATGCAGGTGGTAATTGGCAGTATTTTTGTGTGGGTGTGTGTATGTGCATGTGTGTGTGTGTGTGTGTGTGTGTGTGTGGGCATTCCTAGTTAATATAATTGTTTAGTTTACATAAACTCGATATTCCTTCCCTTGGAACTCGTGCTAATGAGATTTTATCGTATACACACAAAATGCTCACCACAAGTAACAGTTTTTTCTCCCCAGGTGTCCTTGTGATCAAAGAATTCCATGAGATCCTCCACTGGCTGAGTTTTGTGAAAGAAGCAAGCTGTGGAAGAATGGAACCCCCTGACTGGGGAACTGTGCAGCAGTGAGCCATGAGATGATGATGCTGCTGCTGAGGCACTGGGAGATAATCTGAAATAGATACAGACATGACCTGAAGTGAACAGGTACAAAAGGGCTTGTTTCTATGACAACACAGCATGGTGAAGGCGTCAGTCAATAAATCAAATGCAATCTGCAAATGAAGGCTGGGTGAAACGGATCTCAAAGACTCCCTCTTTTATAGTTGAGTTAAAGCATGTTATATGGTGAGGTCCTAATCTCTTGCATGTCCACCAGCTGGGTTATCTATTCAGGATAAAATGTTACTACTTCTCTTTCTTCTAGTCTATGCCATGAAGTGTCAGTCACGTTTGTGCAGTATTTGATCTCTGCTGCCTAATATTTTTGATAAAGATGTTCTTCCCTGCTATGACGGGAAAGTATCTAGTAAAGTAAGTAAAGGCATTTTCCACGATTTATTGCTTTATTGCACACACACAGGGCTAGACCTATATTTTATAGACCTATTGGCACCAGTGGGTTATGTGGTCAGCATCACACTGGTCACCTTTACGTCCCAGGACTTTATCTGGTACCAATAGTTAATTTTTTAAAGAATATCAGAGTCAATGCAGCAGCTAGCAGTGAGAGCCTAGCCGCTCTGTCATGAATGCAAAGTGATTAACATCCTATATGTTGTCTTTTCTCTGCTTCTCCCTGCTGCAACTTTTTTATTATCATGTTCTTCAGTTTTTCTCCACGATCACAGGGAGCCTGGCTAATCTGATGACCTGCCTCTGATGCAGGCAATTAATTTTGTTAATTATGTTACGTTAATCAATTTATGGGTGATATATGAAGGGCAACAAATGGAAACCTTCAAAATGTTACAGAAATTACAATAATTAAGACATTGTCTTGTAATGTCAGTATTCTTATTAAAGATGACAAGAATGTTCAGCATAGTGACACTTTGCAGACAAACACAGTGATGTCATAGCGACAGATGGCCACCTCATTTCACTTTTCACATGCACCAAACAGAAGCAGTGCTCAATTATCTGTTATTTGATCAGTGAAGGGGTGAAGCATGTTACTTCTTCCTGGCATTCTCAAAAATGTCCACTCAATGATGTAGAGACTACATTGCAAATGGCAATAGAGAAATGAAATGGGTGTTCTGCAGCACTTTGTCTCAGAAACAAATCTCTAGTCACATATATTTTATAACCTCTATACAGCAGGTTCAGCATTAGCTAAAAATTGTAATTTTATAATATTGTATTAAAAGATTAGTATGTCTTCAAATTTTTTTCTGTCTGCAAAATATTTCTTCTATTTTTTCCCCAGGTTTAAAAAGGTTAAAGAGTGTTGCTTTAGGGGACAGCACAAACCAGTATTTGTAATTTGTTGGCTGTTTGTGGTTTTACTAAAAAAAATTATATTCAATATTTTCTTAACATTTGGTGCCCTATATCATTTTTGAAATCAATTAAAAGTGGTTGTCATCATCATCATGTAGCAGGTCCTTTGCAGAACGACACTTTTATCACTGTCTGACTAAAAAAAACAATTGTCTTTTGCCAGCTCTCCCGCCTTTATGTACTTTCATACTCAAGGAGTCACTTATATCTTGTGCCCATCTTCCTGGTACTATACCTTCTGCTATAATTTTTTCCAATCCAACGTGGCGCTTGATATGACCGAAATATTTCAGCTTCCGAGACAGGATGCTGTTTAATAGCCAATCTTCCTTGATGTTCAGATCTTTCAAGATGTCAGTATTTCTCCTCTTCTTTATATCCAAAATATTCTGAGAATCTTTCTATAGACTTTCAGCTCAATAGCCCCTATTCTTTTTCTCAAGGACTGGGAGATAGTCCACAACTCACATCCATACGTTGCTAGAGAAAAGATGCATGCTCTCAAAAATTCTTATTTTGATCTTCTTGCTGGTGCTTAACTAAAGACTTTTAAGGCTGTTTAATCTTTGCATTGCTATGGCCATCCTTTTTTTAATTTCTGTTAACAGTCTCCTTTCATATTTATTATAGAGCCAAGATATTCAAAGTTTGTGACATTTTCAATTTCTTCATCATTTATTGTTATTTTTGGGTGGCAGCCAGTTTTATCTGTGGACATGATTTTCTTTTTCTTCAAATTTAAGAACAGACTGTGATCTTCACTATGCTTCTGGACAGACAATATTAAATTTTATATTTCCTTTACGCTTTTCGAAAGGAGGACTGTGTCATCTGCATAACGAAGCTCCGTATAGGGTTGCCACTAATTTTGAGCAGGATCATAACTGTCACAAGTCTGGTCATTTTGGACATTTCTCATTAAATTTTCTGCGTATGTACTGAATAGGTATGGTGACAGAATGCACCCCTGCCTCACTCCTTTTTGCACCACAAACCAATCCAATGTTTCACCAGCTGTTCTGATGGCTGCTTGTTATTCATGATGAAGATTTTCAATTAGATGCACTAAATTCAAAGTAAACCCCATAATTCTCATAATAGTCCAGTTTCTGATGTTGGACACAATCAATTGCCTTGCAATATTAATATTTTTGCAGGACTTTTTTTTCTGATAGTATACAGTAACAGTAACAGCACCAATTTATTTAAGCCATCGTTTTTAGTTAGCATATACTTATTATACTATACTTTGTAGTGAGTTCAGTATAGTCACCGTTTTCGGACGTTTTGTGGTGAGTACAGGCACCTTGCCTCTAGAAAAAAAGACCCGTATTCCTGTGTGTATATTTTTGTGTCACATCACGGCTTCTTCCTGTAGGTTTTTTATCCTAGAGACAAGCCGGTTGTGATTTTAAGATTTGTATGATAATGACCCTATGGTTAGTTGCGTATCTTTTACAGGACGTTGCAGAACCAACCCCAGCAGCCCCTGGCTGTTGTGTGGTTTCTCTAGGCAAATGTACGTCCAGTAGTTTGCCAGTGCTTTCTGGACAGTCAGCCCCCTGATACCACCGTCGAAACTAATGCAGGGCGCATAGCCCGCTGCTGGGATCGAATCCGGCATTACGAAACGTTCGCATCGACTTAGCCACAGAACCGACATGACAGTATGACCTGACTTAAAATGTGGGCTCTCCTTGCAGATCCGGACGAGGGTTGGACGCGGGCTGGACGACTTAGTTCAGTTTAGTGGGAGTTCTCTCCCTTGGCCGCACTCGAAACAGTGAGCGGAAAAGTCCACGAAACAAATGACATACTTACCTATCATCATACGGTTGCGTGTAAGGTTGCGTACGGTTGCGTTTAGGGTTGCGTAGTCATCATACGGTTGTGTGTAGGGTTGCGTAGTCGTCATACGGTTGCCTGAAGGGTTGCGTTGTCATCATACTGTTGCATGTTGGGCTGCGTAGGGTTTGGGTTAGGGGTTTTGGTTAGGGGTAACGTTAGGGTTATGGGTTAGGGGTAGGGTTAGGGGTTATGGGTAGGCTTAGGGGTTAGGGTTATGGGTTAGGGGTAGGGTTTAGGGTTAGATGTGAAAATTTTCACGTAGGAGGTCGAAATAGTGGCCGACAATCTGATCCTTTGGGAGTGGCGCCACTGAAATTCTGCCAAATATGACGCCAATAGCGGGCGGCTGGTGCCCAATCGGTGGCGAATTGTCCGGGTCAGTAGCATCCACCGTCCGTCGACTGTTTGAGTGTGTATGTGACTGTGCGCGATTGTAGGGAACTACGGCGTCAAAATTGTCACATCTAACGCTAAACCTAACCCTACCCCTAACCCTTACGGCAACCCTAACGCTACCCCTAATCCTAACCATACCCCGACCCTTAACCACGCAAATTTATCAGTCATTAAAGCATACAGATCGGCACACAAAAAAACCAGATATCCCCGCAGTGTCAAAAAAAAAAACCCAGATCTGGGGGACACACCCAAGCCTTGGGTGTGCCCCCCAGATCTGGGGTTTTTTTTTGGGCCAAGCATTTGCAGCCCTGATGTTGACCTCACTGTCTTGTTTGATTCGTGACTTTTTCCGCTACTTGTTTCGAGTGCGGCCAAGGGAGAGAACTCCCACTAAACTGAACTAAGTCGTCCAGCCCGCGTCCAACACTCGTCCGGATCTGCAAGGAGAGCCAAAATGTGTGTCCTGTGTCATACCAGTAAAATTTCCGGCTCTACTGGCAAATCCGGACGAAGAATAAACAGTCTTGGACGACTTAGTCAGAGTTCTCTCCCGTGTGCGCACTCCAAACAGTGATCGGAAAACAAACGAAACAAACGACACACTTAGCTATCATCCTGCGGTTGCGTGTAGGGCTGCGTACGGTTGCGTGAGGCATCGTGGCATCATCATATGGTTGCATGCAGGGTTGCGTACGGTTGCGTGAGGCATTGTGAATGGTTGTGTAGTCATCATCATGCGGTTGTTGGATTAGAGTTAGGGGTAGGGTTAGGGTTAGGGTTAGGGGTAGGGTTAGGGGTAGGGTTAGGGTTAGATGTGACAATTTTGACGTAGGATTTCGAAATACTGGCCGACAATCTGATGTTTGTGGGAGTGGCGCCACTGAAACTCTGCCAAATATGACGCCAATAGCGTGCGGCTGGTGCCCCCAATCGCTGGCGAATTGTGCGTTTGACCAGCATCCAGAGGCCCTCGATTGTTTGTGTGTGTGTATGGGACTGTGCGCGATTATAGGGAACTCCGGCGTCAAAATTGTCAAATCTAACGCTAAACCTAACCCTACCGCTAACCCTAACCCTAATCCTAATCCTACTCCCTAACCCTAACCCCTAACCACGCACATTTATCGATCATTAAAGCATACAATTCGGCAAACACCAACAAACAAAACACACCAAAAAAAACACCCAGAATTGTCCTGCAGCGTCGAAAAAAAAAACCACATCTGGGGGAAACAACAAGCATTGGCAGCCCTGAGTCGACGTGACTGTCGTCTTTGTTTCGTTATGGCTTTTCCGATCACTGTTTGGAGTGCGCACATGGGAGAGAACTCTGACTTAACTAAGTCGTCCAAGGCTGTTTATTCTTCGTCCGGATTTGCCAGTAGAGCCAAATTTCCAAATGTTAACCACTTCTAATGACGGTACATTACTAGTACCCAAAAAAAAAAAAAATAAACAAAACAGCAGAACCGAGAAACAGGCAAACTTAAATTAATCATTTTATTAATGCGAAAATGAAAAGGTCATTATTAATAATGATTCTTATCCGTCGGAATTTTGCATTCGTGAACAGAACTGTGAACACGGTGTCGTGTCGTCTGAAGTGCCTCGTCTTTAATTCAAGAAAAACTGCTCAGAATATAAGGCATTTAAAACAGCTGTCGCTTATAGGGACTTTACTTACCTCAAAAGTGATAAATGATTGACAACCGCATTAAGCTGTGAGCTAAGTTTCCTGCACTGTGTTATTTTTAAAATAATTTTAGTCGTTGCAGTGAAACAACCTTTCGTTATTGACAAGGCCGCCATTTTGTTTACAAGAACAGATAACTCTTACTGACTGTGTTTTGAGTTAGGAGAGGGGCTATTCACCGCTTTTCCCAGAGAAATAGAGAAGGCCGTGGATATTATGGTGTCCTCCCCTTTGTAGGCGCAAGAAAAGATATAAAACCGAAGCGCAAAAACATCATAGTCCATGCCTTTATAGTCTTCCCGTGATTGTTAGGGTATTGGGGACGTTTGAGCACCCTAACAGTTTTGTAAGGGGAATTTGCCTCAACAAATCATTTTATTTGTTGTCTTTTTAATACACGGATGACAGTCGAACTTGTTTATGTCTGAGAGGTAGTTTTGAATTGGGAGCTACTGGCACCATTAGTTTTGGAACTCTGCGCTGGCAGCCGAAGATGGGTCGAAGCACTTATGGCAATGCCCTGAGTGCTGTGATGTAGGCCTTTGAATCAACTCAACTCAAATCTTCTTCTTCTTCTTCTTCTTCTTCTTCTTCTTCTTCTTCTTCTTCTTCTTCTTCTTCTTCTTCTTCTTCTTCTTCTTCTTTTTCTTTTTCTTTTTCTTTTTCTTTTCTTCTTCTTCTTCTTCTTCTTCTTCTTCTTCTTCTTCTTCTTCTTCTTCTTCTTCTTCTTCTTCTTCTTCTTCTCTTTTTTCTTCTTCTGCTCTTTTTTCTACTTCTTACTGTTCCTACTCTTCCTCCTTCTCATCCTTCTTTTTCCTCCTCCTTCTTTTCCTCCTCCTCCTTTTTCTCCTTCTTCTTCTTCTTCTTCTTCTTCTTCTTCTTCTTCTTCTTCTTCTTCTTCTTCTTCTTCTTCTTCTTCTTCTTCTTCTTCTTCTTCTTCTTCTTCTTCTTCTTCTCCTTCTTTATCTCCTTCTTTTTCTTCTTCTTTTTCTTCCTCCTCCTCCTTCTTTTTCCTCCTCCTCCTTCTTCTTCTTCCTCCTCCGCCTTCTTTTACCTCCTCCTTTTTCTTTTATTTCTTCTTCTTCTTCTTCTTCTTCTTCTTCTTCTTCTTCTTCTTCTTCTTCTTCTTCTTCTTCTTCTTCTTCTTCTTCTTCTTCTTCTTCTTCTTCTTCTTCTTCTTCTTCTTCTTCTTCCTCCTCCTTATCCTCTTCTTCTTTTTTTCGTCTTTTTCTTCTTCTTTTTCCTCCTCTTTTTCTTCTTCGTCTTCTTCATCTTCATCTTCTTCTTCTTCTTCTTCTTCTTCTTCTTCTTCTTCTTCTTCTTCTTCTTCTTCTTCTTCTTCTTCTTCTTCTTCTTCTTCTTCTTCTTCTTCTTCTTCTTCTTCTTCTTCTTCTTCTTCTTCTTCTTCTTCTTCTGCTTCTGCTTCTTCTTCTTCTTCTTCTTCTTCTTCTTCTTCTTCTTCTTCTTCTTCTTCTTCTTCTTCTTCTTCTTCTTCTTCTCCTCCTCCTTCTTCTTCTTCTTCTTCTTCTTCTTCTTCTTCTTCTTCTTCTTTTTCTGCCCCTCCTCTTTATCATTCTTCTTCTTCTTTTTCTGCCATCACCTTTAGGGTGTTATTTACCGCCAGGCAGCGATATCCGTGCTTTTCGATGTAACATATCTGACTTTAGCAAACTTATAATTATCATCTTTTACCACATGGCTTGTTCTTTTCCCCCACCAAAATGGGGCCCCATAATTAGGGCTGTACCGAATATTCGCTTTATATTCGCTTCGGGGTCGAATAGTGGACCTAATAACTATTCGGTATTCGGTCGAATACTCGCGGTCGGGCTGAAAACGAATAGTGATTACCCTACACCCGTTTCTGCCTACACTGTAATGAACTGAAATAACTTTTAATTAACAATTTAGTTGCTGTTGCCTAGGTCTGTCGTAATAGGAGAAACTGCGACCCGGTTGAGTGGTACAGCAGCTGACAAGGTCTTTGCCTGCTGACACGATCGAGGCATTGCAGCACAGGTTCTCAAACTGGGTGCGTATGCCAGGGGTACCGCGGCGAAAATCAAGAAAAGTCGGTTATAAATTGTGACATTATTAAAGAAGGCATGAAGATACTCAAAAGTTAAAGTTTCCATGCCACTGTCAAAAAGATTTTTTTTTTCCTCCTTGTTTCACACTCAGTGTATCATACTGCATAAAATGCCAACCGCAGCGTGCTAAAAATTGTCTTTGTATTTATCTCGAGGTGGACCGATCCTCCATCTGTATTCGTGAAGGTGCAGCGGATAAGTAAGGTTGTGATTACATTCTGACTGAAATTTTAAAGTGAGAAATGTGGTCTGAACAATAGTAACTGTTAGCTTCGTCAAGTAAGCACTTATTTTAAAAGGCAATGCGTTCTTTTTTGTTGCTTGTGTGAGTGTGTGTGTGTGTGTGTGTGTGTGTGTGTGTTGCATGGAAGTGTGTCAGCACACGAACTAATACATGCTGCAGGAGATCGCAGATTGTGGCGAGGCATAATCGCCCATGCCAGTCGGCAAGGCACCTGATGATGATGATACACTTTTCGTATTCGTCCGAATAGTTGGTCCCGCTATTCGTATTCGGCCGAATAGTGATAATCACTATTCGGTACTGCCCAACCCATAATTCACACAGTGAAATGTCAGTGTGTTATGTTGATCTTGCTTTATCGTCTGGTATTTGCAGCATATTGTGAGGAGTAGTGATTCAACTGTTTGCTTCCAGCTCTAATCATCGTGATTTTAGTTTTCAGTTTTCTGGTTCGTTTCTCAACTGAAATTTGTTTTGCAAATTCCACAGTATCGTCGCTGAGGCTAAAGCATTTAGCTTCTTTTACGTGACGCCTTTGGCCACTCCTTGGCAAGAAATCGAATGAGAATAAACTTGGTCCATCAAAGTCTTTTTCTCGTCTTTAAACACCTTTTTAATTATAAAAATGAGAAATCGAATAATATGGGACTTAACTTGGTCCAGTAAAATCTTTCTTTGTTCTTTAAACATCGTTTAAATTATGAAAACGCTCAAGTGAAAGATAATATTTATTAAGTAGTGTCTACACGGAATATGTCAGCGTCTGTCTTGGGCGTTGCGAATGCGCTTCTAAATGCCGATGTGCAGAGTTTGACCGCAGCATAAGGCGATTTGGCAGCAGACCGCATTGCGTTGGTTTCGACACTGGTATCAGGACCAGACCGTTTAGTATGGTGGCAAACTAGTGAACGTTACTTTTCCTAGATAAATCACAGTAGCCAACATGTTGGCGTTTGTTCTGCTACATCCTGTTATTTCCGTGAAGCAAGAAAAGATGAAAAGGCGATGTTGTCTGAAAGGACACACACTGAGACAGGCTAGTTCCTTTCCTCTTCAAAATTTATCTCCAAATATGTCATAGTCAATTCTCAAACATGGCCTAGATTTTATAGCCCAATCTGCACTCGGTTGGTGATGTGGTCAATATGACGCTGGCCGCCTTTTCTTCATAGGACTTTACCTGGTATCCATTTAAGGCTGAGTCGACCTTGCAGCCAAAGCTATTTTTAAACCAAAATTACACACACACAAACACACACACACACACACACACACACACACACACACACACACACATATATATATATATATATATATATATATATATATATATATATATATATATATATATATATCCTACAGGCGAGCGTTCAGCTGCATACATTTAAAAAGATCCCTTTTCAGGCCTGAGGCGCATCGGGTGTGTGGGAAGAGTGTCCCATATTTTTACAGACCAATCGGCACTGGATGGGTAATGTGGTCAGCATTACACCGGCCGTATTTACTTTCCCAGGACAGCTATCCTGGTACCCATTTTAGGCTGGGTCGATCTGCGACGCCCCATACCATGATTCATTTAGAAGGTCATTATAATTGTTTGTTATTCGTGCACCAGAAGCAATGGTTTTAAGTTGGTTAAATAAGGAAAACATATTTTCAGTATATGCGTAGACCTCTGCACGTATTGTCAGTACAAGGATTAGAGTACCCACAACAAGAAGGAATGTTTCCAGTTTGAACTTTTCGTTCTATTAAGAAATATCTTTTCTGGAAGCTCTGCTAATTCATTCTATCTGCTAAGACGCAGAATTCGTTGTCATCTCTATTTTTCCCTGTCAGTGTAATCTGTATCTAGACACATACTCCTGTCTTTGAAATCATTTCCCTAAATTTGTCTCTAGTTTCCGGGAGAAAGGTTTCCAAAGACCGAGAATCAATTAATCCGAGAATGACAGTTTTAACTTCATAATAAGCGAGTCAGACTTCACAAAATTCGAGTCATCTTACAGTTACACAGGTTTAACTTCATAACAAGCGAGTCAGACTTCACAAAAATTCAAGTCATCTTACAGTTGCACAGGTCATGAGGCAACTAAAACCACTCAGAATGTCCATTCCTGTCCCTTTGTCGCAGCTCACAGTCACGCCAGTCATTCTGCTCAGTAGCTTGGCGACGAAACTAGACTCAAGAATATTCGTGGCCACAACGATGTTCACATCTTATGATCAGAGGGACATTGTAGGTTTTTTAATTCTTCCTATTAAGCAATTGTAAAGAATTGTGAGAAAGATGTTTCCAGATTTCCCGTGTTGTTTTGTTTTGTTGCTAAATCCTTCTGCTTCTCTTCTTGTAATCATTATTTGTTGTATTTTCTCGAAACTCCCGTACAGAGCTTGCGCAGCATCAAAATATGCCGACTATCGTGTAGCAAACAGACGCTTGACCACAAAATTGTTTCCCGAGGATGATGTCAATACACTCCACTGATGAATACAGGCAGGAGAAATATAAGTTACGTTGTATATTATATAGAATAACTTTAAACATCACACCTGTTTTTATTTTTAGGTACTCACTTACATACTGTAGTGAGTCATTTTCTCCCAATTAATTTATGCCCGACAGATGACGTCAGTAATAAATGTAAGGGGAATGTTTTGACTGACTGGGATAACACGAGATTTGTGTCTTGAGTTTCATGGGAGACATCTGAAAGTCAGGTTGTATGTGAAACATGATTTTTCACGTGAACCATGAAGGTTGACTGGCAGGCTTCGTGTG